TACCTATCTCATACCCATGACATTATACAAATGTGTGTCCTCATAAACCACATAAACATACACACACACACACACACACACACACACACACACACACACACAGTATATAATTATTTATAGCTAATTTTATTAGGATCTCAGCTGCCAAGAAATGTCTGTTTAACACATTTGAGCATGTTTAATTTGATGTCACATTATTCTGCATATTTTCCTTTAAAATGAGCACAGAGCAAACAAAATTTCCTTTGGTGTTCTTTGTAAATTTCCTACTGTAAATATATTAAAACTGAATTTTTTATTTGTAGTATGCATTGCTAAGAACTTCATTTGGACAAATTTAAAGGCGATTTTCTCAATATTTAGATTTTTTTTTGCACCCTCAGATTCCAGATTTTCAAATAGTTGTATCTCGGCCAAATATCGTCCTATCCTAACAAACCATACATCGATGGATGATGTATAAATCTCAATTTTGAAAAATTGACCCCGATGACTGGTTTTGTGGTTCAGCGTCACAATTATTCTTCAAATGGAGCAAAAAATTTGGCACACCATGGTCTCCTAATAGTTAGAGCTCCAGCTGTTTTTTTTTGTTTTTTTTGAGTGACAGGTGATGGGCAGCTGAATCTATAGCTAAGGTGGGTTGCCTCACTGGAGGTGGTCTTAAGAATATCTGCTGATACGCTTGGCCACATATGAATTGCAGTGATTCAGAAACGATTTTGATTATATGAAAAGTCTTTTAGAGAAAACATGAAACATTTGACTCAAATACACATTTAAGAGATTGTATGGGCTTGACACCGTCTCGGTCCTTCTGAAATGAGATGCATGGTCTAAATAAGGATAAAGAAATAAAAATTCAGTGTTGTTTATGTGGGCAGCAGCTCACATAATTCTTATCACATACAGTGTAAGTTTACACATTCATTTTTGCCAATCACTTTCTTGCCAATGTGACTTAATCACAATTACCTTAGGAGCTTACAGTTTTCTTTAATGCACATTTAATAATTATATATACAATTTTTATTAATACACTACCATTCAAAAATTATATATCAGTAATTAAATTTTTTTAATTAATACTTTTATTCAGAACGGTTGCATTTAACTGATCAAAATTGACAGTAATTGCTGCTGAAAATTCAGCTTTGTCATCACAGTAATAAATTACATTTTCAAATATATTAAGTTATTTTAAATTGTAATAATATGACAACATTACTGTTTTTACTCTATGCTTATCAAGGCTGTTAACATTAAAAATCTGACTGACCCCAAACTTTGAATGGTAGTGTGTGTTACAGAGCTGACGAGAAGTGAGACGTGCGGATCCATCTGCAAGGCTTTATTGTGGACTGTTTGGCTTGTTGACAGAGCCGCATGCATACACAAGGCAAAAGCATATACAGTTGCCTGTTTAACTCCTTCTTGGCTTTGGTATGTATGATATGACGTGGGAGAGACACTTAGTAGTCTCCAGATACTCATCATAAAAAATATCATAAACAAAGCATGTTCATTCTCTGTTTTCCACTGATATATACACTCAATGGATTGCAGAGTATTCACAGACTACAAACCAACCTTTGTTACTACACAAAGACCCAGTGGCAAAACGTGCATCATTCACCTGTCATACACAATGTACATTCCCAGATATACAGCATTCTTATGGAGGGTACACACACTCTGGATGCTTATGTACAATTACATAATTGTTAGATGAGAATACATTCCTCCCAGCATGCAAACATGCAAATATATACAGTTCTTCACAAACAAACGGTGAACAAACATTGTTTAACATAATCACACAACTGGAGGCAAGTAGCTGCCAGCCTGTCTACACATGAAAGCAAAACAGGTGCAGAGGATCCCTGTGTCTAACAACAATGCCATTTGCCTTATGACTAAAATAAAGTTTTCAAATGGTTTTCTTGTCAGCTTACAGTGCTCTTAAAGGAATAGTTCACCCAAAAATGAAAATATGCTGAAAATTTACATAGGCCATCTAAGATTTATGTGAGTCTGTTTCTTCATTAGAACAGATTTGGATAAATTTAGCATTACATCACTTGCTCACCAATGGATCTTCTGCAGTGAATGGGTGCCATCACAGTCCAACCTGATAATTAAAATATCACAATAATCCACAAGTAATCCACATGACTTCAGTTCATCCATTAATGTCTTGTAATGTGAAAAGCTGCAACAACAAAACAAATTCATCATAAAACATTTTAGCTAAAATACATGTTCTCTAGCCATAATATTGTTTTCTCCAGTGAAAAAGCCATCTCGTCTGAATCAACATGACTTCAGTTCATCCATTAATGTCTTGTAATGTGAAAAGCTGCAACAACAAAACAAATTCATCATAAAAACATTTTAGCTAAAATACATGTTCTCTAGCCATAATATTGTTTTCTCCAGTGAAAAAGCCATCTCGTCTGAATCGGGAGAGAAATATGCATAGATCAAGCACCATTTGACCAGAAGTGATGTATTAAAGTTAAAAGTTAAAAAGATGTTAATTGATGGACTGGAGTTGAGTTGTGGAATATTGTGATGTTTGTATCAGCTGTTTTGACTAGTTTTGACGGCATCCATTCACTGCAGAGGATTCATTGGTGAGCAAGTGATGTAATGCTATATTTTTAAAATCTGTTCCAATTAAAAAACAAACTCTTCAATATCTTGGATGACCTGATTGTCAGTAAATTTTCAGCACATTTTTCTGTATTTTATTTTAGTTCCAGAAGCCATTTCACTCAGAGATAAATACATCATAAAAGGGAATAAACGATGATCACGACTTCTGTTTCATGACAGATTTAAAGGTAAAGTGCAGTTAACAATTCATACTGTTTTACTCATTTAATGGACACTGTTTGTATAACCAATGGCAGATGAGAGTAAAAACCTGTTTGAAAAATAGTAATTTTTTGCACTTCTGTTTAGTGATGAAATTGCACATTTCAGTTGTATTTAGTGATTACAGCCATTAGTAAATTATTGCTTAGGGGAAAATAGGCTCTCTGTGTAGTTTTTTCAGCTTTCCACAAAAAAATACAAATAAATAAATTAAATACATTCTCTTTGTTTTGCTCCAAGCCTATAATAATCCATCTTAATGAGGTGTCAATCAAATGACTATTGTGTGTTTTCCCTCATATTCTTTTCACATATTATTTTGTCAATACATCTCACTGGCTTTGTCTAGCGAACTGTTTTCTCTCTCGTTATCAGAAGAAGGTGCACTAATGAAACGGTCTGTTCTCTCACTAGTCTGTTAATTACTTCTCTGTTTATTTAGCTGTTGTGCTGTAGTGATGGGAGGCCCAGGGGATTGTCTGACTCCCATGCTAAATAGCCTGCATTCCAATCCCTTGATGCCCAGGCTAATACCATCCTCACTTTCATCTCCACAGCCTGACAAATTAGCACCCATCTGATTCCCCATAGTGAAAAAGAAGGGGAGAAAGGGCCACACAGCATCCTGGAAGAATATTCTGACCACTGAAATATCAGTTATGTATAGATATCTCTGTCGGGAAGAACTTGTTCCTGGAGTTTTGTAAATATGTAAGTAAATGTTTTTGCCCCAACCCATGTTATCTGTAAAACATCATGTCCATTAAAATTTTTTTTTTTTTTAACATGAAGCAACATCCTCTCTGCGCAAAAAAACCAAACACTTTATACAATGCCATTTTCTGTCTTGTTTCAAAATAATCTTTATTATTATTATTATTATAAATAACAATTATATATATTCCTATTTTAAGCATAATCACTAAATTTTGTTAGATTTATGCTTAAAATAAGACGGAAAATACTGTTATATTATTGCATTCTTAGCTTGATGCTTAAAACAAGAAAAAAATAATTACAAAATATTTTTATAATATATAAATTTATATAATATATTCTAGTATATAAAGTATTCTATGTAATATTTATTATATATTCTATATATATTTTGTCTCAAATAAATTCATCTTTACTGAACGTTTTTGGATAGTTTTACTGAAATTTTTTTTTTTACTGCTGATTAAGAAAATATGTTTTGCTGTGTGTGCAAAGTTTAGCATGCTAACCCATGCTGTCCCTCATGCTCGCTCAGAGTACAATCACAAAGGCAGTAGGAACGCTAAGGTAAAGAGGCAGAACCCAATATGAATGCAGAAAACTTTTTTTTCTTCTGTTTTTGGATCTGTTTTCCCCTTGCACTACCATAGTTGCTTAAAGTGTTACATGGCACAAATCTGATCCTAGGTCAGCATTTCATCATCAAACCGTTCCCTGCAGGAGGGCCTCTCACTCTGGCCTTTAGCTGTTGTGAGAGCAATAGCTAGAGTCTGTGTCCATCTGCATAAGAATGCTGCCCACTTCACAGAGGAAGGAGGAGGGCCGCAAGAATTGATGAAAACTTTTCCTGTTCCCCCAAGCCCTTTCATTCCCCTCTCTCCTGTTTCTCAAGTCTTGGCTGAGATGTTTCACACACTCCTGCCTGTGCACTCGCGCCACTTTCAGAAATAAAACCTGCTTAAAAGTTGGGTTTGAATGTAACAATGCTTATGAAACAAAGACACCGGCCTAGTCAAACATGATTGTTAGACCAAGATATTCACCATGCTTCTTATCTGCGAGACAGTCCATGTTTAAATATTTAGTAATGCATTGGAATGCAGAAAAATACCCACTTTCTTTTTTTCCTCATATCATTGCTTCAGGGTTATTGAGTGTGTATATTTGTTTTGCAATGGCTGAAAGTCTCAAAATGTAAATACATAAGGTTTAAGGTTAGAAAGTGGCTAGTTGTCACACAAGTTGGCTATATTTCAGTAACTATAAAGTTTTGAATCAAATGTGTGCATATTCTCATTCTCATTTAGAGTCTGTACAAATAGTATTGACTTTAATATAAGAACAGCTAGAAGAGCTCCTCCTCACAAGTATATGTGTACAAGTTTGTGTGAGAGAGGGTCTGCATCTGCGTGAGAGAGAGAGAAAAGCAAATTGTGCAGGGTTCTCCTCCCATTGCCGACCTCGCACGATGGCAATGTTGAGCAGAGTAGGGTTGATCATGATCATGTGACAGACAGGCAGCTTTGGGAGAGTACAGCTCTGAACACAGAAACATCAGGCGCAACTAAAGGAGTTTCCACACCGCGAGAGCCTACAAGTGAACATTGCCCCGTTTTAAAACCGTTATTCAAGCGCTCTGAACGACATCGACGGTCAGTGGAAAGTTCTGGGGAAGAAGCTCTTTTAACAGCCTGGATAAAGAAAGGTTTGGTGGCGATAAAAATATTCTCTGTTGGAGAGGAGAGACGCACAAATCTCAGCGGGCATGCGGGAGTTTTTGGAGTTATTTGACTGCAAACACTCTACAAACAAATAAGAACTTTCGCGCAGATTCGGTGCGTTAATTGGGTCATCCGTTATTTTTAAAGGTTGATACAAAGTTTCAACATTGTGTTTGAAAAGTAGCGACATCGGGGCAGTAGTTTGGAATAAAAAAGGGAAAATATATTAAACCCCTCCATTTGCTTATTTTTTAATTTTTTTTAACTTTTTTCTCTTGTAGGGGGCTGTCGTGTTTTCCCGAAATTTTACGCACTTTTTGGTTTTTGGGGTAATATTTTAAACATGGTTGGAGAAATGGAAACGAAGGAGAAGCCGAAGCCGACTCCTGATTATCTGATGCAGCTCATGAACGACAAGAAACTGATGAGCAGTCTGCCAAACTTCTGTGGTATTTTCAACCATCTCGAGCGATTGTTAGATGAAGGTGAGAGTAATATATATATATATATATATATATATGTTTTTTTTAAACAATTAATTAGTTTTATGCTCGTAGGAACTGCGGATGCCTTCAGATTTATCCTAAATATGTTATTTTTCTGTTTCCTGGTTGTTGTAAATAAGCTCTGAAATTTGTTGTAAATAATATCTTATGAATTTTTTTTCATCCCAGTAACTCTAGACATTTGTTTTTTTTCAAGAATAACTTTTCTTGCATGCTACAGTGGCTACGTTTACATGCGACCAAATAATCCGTTTGTAATCGGATTGACGCGACTCCTGATTATCTGATGCAGCTCATGAACGACAAGAAACTGATGAGCAGTCTGCCAAACTTCTGTGGTATTTTCAACCATCTCGAGCGATTGTTAGATGAAGGTGAGAGTAATATATATATATATATATATATATATGTTTTTTTTAAACAATTAATTAGTTTTATGCTCGTAGGAACTGCGGATGCCTTCAGATTGATCCTAAATATGTTATTTTTCTGTTTCCTGGTTGTTGTAAATAAGCTTTGAAGTTTGTTGTAAATAATATCTTATGAATTTTTTTTCATCCCAGTAACTCTAGACATTTGTTTTTTTTCAAGAATAACTTTTCTTGCATGCTACAGTGGCTACATTTACATGCGACCAAATAATCCGTTTGTAATCGGATTGACTGCTCAATCGGATTGAGAAGCCTTCATGTAAACACCTTAATCGATCCGATTGAGCTCGATCGGCATGAAATTTCGATCGGATTGAAGGGGGCGGTTTATTCGTTTTCTAATATGATTGAGAGTGCATGTAAACACTCGATCGGATTGAACCCCAAAACTGAAAGGACTGCGCATGTGCAATAGCGTAGTAGAAAGAAGAAATAGCGTAATGACGTATGAGGCACGGAACAAACGGCTCTTTCTTTTGAATAAAGTATTGTATAAATGCGTGTCTGTCTAGACCTTCCAGACCTGGTTGGTATTATAAAGCAAGTTTTGTACTTAAAGCTGGAGTTTGCTCAGGGTCGATGCACTTTTAACTTATTTGAATGCTGCAGAACGCATGTAACCAGCAGCTTTCCTCTGAGAATGCAGGGGAAGCTGAGGACCTGATAACAGAATCACTTCTCGCTTTCTCCCTCTCATTCTAATCATAGAGCCCATGGCCCTGGCTTATTTCATTCTCAGTTTATTGCTGATAATCCAGTGTAATAATATAAAGGTTATCACTGCAATACTTTTATGGAGAGAAGGGTGATCTGTTAGATTTATATCCACGGTATTTTGCAATCCATATTAGAGTAAATTCAGTCTGTCTGGTTCTTTGGTACACTGAATCTCTCTAGATTCATCATAACTTGCCAATAGCTTGTGGCATATTGAAGTATGTGTCATAAATAAATAACCTCACTAAGCTTGGGTTTTTCAGTTCCTCTGTTCAGAGCTAATTTAGCCTTGCCGGTTCTCTTTATTCAGGCATATTCAAGCAAGTTCTCTTTATTGCAGCTCTTAAAATGTTGATTGGCTGAAAAATAGGTAGAATTTCTTTGATCTAGATTTCCTCTCACTATCACAGAGGGGTTCTGAATCATCCACTGCCTTTTGTATAGCTTTATTGTCTCATATATTTTCCTTGTATGAGGATCCCAGTTCTGTTAGGTTATTGTAAAGAGGTTACTATATAATAAGCTTGGTATTTTGCTTGAGCACTTGTAGGCTACCTTTTTTCACACACACCCAATGCCAGATGATGCCAAAGAACTCCTTGTTTGTATCTGCAGTTTCTAATGTGTTTGATGTGGATTTTTTTTTACATACAAGACAACGTTTACAATTCCTAGTTGTTTATTTAGGTTTGTCTTTGCATTTTTTTTTAAATGTACTGTTTATAGCACTTGTTCTTAGTGTGAATTGTATTTGTAGTGTTCTAAATTAATACAAGCCATTACACATAATATTTGATAACTCATATTTGATATTCTGCATTGTGATGTGTTATTGGTTCTGGTTTTGTAAACTTCCAGCATGTGTTTTCAGTGCTGCTCTTTTTCTTCACACTTCTTTTCTGTTCCCTCTGAGGAACAGATATTCTGCTGGTATGCAGCTTATTGAATTATTTGAGTAATTAAGCTATCATGGAAGAAAAATATCTGGGAGAGGATCCAGAAGCATTGTTGAACCTCTCTTTGAAAACACTGGCTTTTTCTTATCTGATTTAGATATAAAACGGGACTACAGAGCCCCAGGTGGACCTACTAGAGAAATTGTTGCAAAGTGGGCTTTTTTGTTATTTTTACTGAAACCGTTCTGTTGCCTTTTATTATTGCATAGGATAAATAATATTGGGCTTGTGTTAACAACATTGCACAAATGTTATTGTTGGAGGCACTTTCAATAAATATGGTACAAAATGAGGCCAAAAAATATTTTCCAGTTTTTCAATAAATGGTCTGCAATGGAAGGTGCTTAACCTTTAGAAAATCATCAACCTCAGAAGGTCAAATACTGTGTTTTTCCCCTATTAATTTCATAAGAGGTTTGTTTTTTCTTTTTTCTCCAATTTCTCTAAATGCAGTTTAATACCCCTGATTGAAATAAAATAGGCAAAATTTATAATATAAACTAGAGGGCTCCCATAAATTAAAGAAAAATATTAGTTAGGTTGTATTTCCTATCAATAAACATTAAATAATCATCGAAATTAAATAGACAAAATGTATGAAATAAATATAGGGTTCCCATAAATTAAAATATTTTATTGTATTTTCTGTCAGTAAATGTTAAATAAACATTTAAATTAAATAGACAAATAGTATAAATAATCTTCAGGGTTCCCATAAATTAAAGAACAAAATATGTTTGATTGCATTTTTGCATAACACTTGGGGTAAAGTTTGCATATTATTTATGGAAATTGCCTTAAACGTTGTGATTTTTTAAATCAGTAATTTGGTAGATTTCAAAATGTCCCCATAGCGTCATGCATATCCTAAAGGGATGAAATTGCTCCAGACAAATGTGTTAGGAAAGTTTGAATTCTCGCTGGTGTCTTGACCTCTGATTGTTCTTACATTATGGTCTTGGTTAAAGTGTAAAGCATGGTCCTCTGGTCACCCCTTCCAAACATAGACTGGCACATGAGCAATGAAGGTACACCACTCTGACCTATATGCATCATATGACCGTGACAAGGGCACACGCAGAGTGGACTGGAGCAAAGATCACATGGTTCTTCATGAATCTGTCACCACTTCATGACTGTTAGAGGTGCTGAATGTTCCACAGATGGAGATCAAGTGTTTGTTTGTGTGTGAGAGTATCAGGTATGAATGTGTTTTCCAGGAAACATAGTCACTTTACACGTATAATTGTGTCCATGTATCTATTATTTAACATAATTGTTCATATACATGCTGTCTTGAAATGTCTTTCAGTATAAGTGAGTCTGAGCGAGTGTAGTTATATGATCTTTTCATCTCAGAATACATATGACATCAATGGTCTTTGACTTTGACTGCATTAAGCTATTACTTCTTTAGCCAGATCCCGTGACACAGACAGAGCGAGATGCAGAAAGGCCCAGGGGATCAGGGTATGGGTTGAGGGCACACCGACTAGACAGCTTCCCTCCAATTCCTGCAAAGTGCAGTCAGGACAGATGTCGCAAAATTAATATGCACTAAAAGAATTCTTCTAAAACACTTCTCCATAGGGAACAGGTGAATGAAACCCAATGAAAAGCTCCAACGGGGAGTCATACTCCATCTGAGAGCTGTTCTTTTGAAATTTTTATTTTATTACATTTTTATTTTTTTTTATTTTATTAAATTTTATTTATTTTTCAATACTGAAAAAATGCATCATGGTTTCCACAAAAATATTAAGCAATGTTTTCACAGCAGTAAGAAATGTTTATTGAGCACCAAATCAGCATATTAGAATGATTTCTGAAGGATCATGTGACACTGAAAACTGGAGTAACGGCGATTGAAAATTCAGCTTTGACATTGTTGGAATAAATTACATTTTATAATATATTAAAACAGTTATTAAGCAGCCAGCTAAACTGTAATATTTTGGAATATTACTGTTTTTACTGTATTTATGATTAATTGAATGCAGCCTTTGTGAGCATAAGAGACTTCTTTCAAAAACATTTTTAAAATGTTACAGACCTCAAACTAGTAGTTTATATTTAGATTCTCCATTTAAATTTTGTCATTACAAAATGAACAAATTTAAATATGTGATAAATATTTATATAAAAAAAGTGAAACATGATATTTAGTCAGAAATAATGTAGGACAGGATGTGATTTCATCCATCAGGAAATTATTTATCCTGAAAAGTGGTCTCTCATACAGTTGGTTTAAAATTGGAATTGCTTAGTGATGTCCAACGAAAAGGGAAGTAATTTTAGAGGTCAGCACAAGTTTTTACATTTTGGATTAAAGATTGCAAAAGCAAATGTTTTTCTATGGAGTAACGTCGTTCATAATTGGCCTCAACTGATTCTGTTCCCTGCAGGGATTCAACACATCTGGCTTTCAATCTCAAACAATAAAAGATTGTTTTAATGATGTTTAGATCAGTTTTTCGCAGTGGTCTTTCTGAATGAAACTGCTTTGTTTGGCAGTGGCAGACAGATGTGCCTGGAGCTATGAAGTGACAGTTGTAATGTTATTTTCAGGTCAAATCTCGGGCCTCTGTGTCAATCCTCATGTCTTGTGTGTTTGTGGAGGTGCTTTTCAGTTGTCTCTGTGTGTCTGTTTTTCTTTGTCCCCCTTTGGCCATTTTCTTTGATAAGATAAATGTTGATTATCGAGCGTGTCGGTGATCTCATCAGTCTCTCCTGTTCTTCCCAGACAGCTTTGCTTGCATCTGTAAATACTCAATACTTATCTCACCCTTAACTGCCAGTTTGCCTGCTGTAGTCTTCTTGCCACCAACAGACAATCTCTCTCTCAGCCTAAACGCAATCAGTGATCCTCCAATCA